GACAGATGCTTGTTAGTACAGTATGTTAGACATTTGTACAGAATCTCTCCTTCAGTCATGTCAGGTATTGTGCAGCTTGACTGAACAGCCTCTCTTTGTGCTTTTGCTTTGATGTTATTAAACACCAAGCTGGTTAATGTTCTCCTATGCCTCGGTACACCCATGCTAAATGTGAGTTTGAATTTGAGTTGATTGTTTGTGTAGGTTGCTGTAATTACGTTTTGGTAAATGTAATGGCATGATTTTATTTCTGAGTGCGGCTGATATTTGCGCGTCCATATCTATGGGTGGTTATTATTGGCAGTAGGGGCTCTCTGGGGTTAGTGCAGCGTCCTTTGCTATTTCTGAGTGTGAATGTAGAGTCTATTTTCAAGGTTGCCATGGAAACCATTGTATTTGTGGTGGCAGTGATTGGTGCTGCCGGCCGAGCAAGATTCTGCTATTTTTGTCATGAGTCAACACCTGATACACACACTTTCTTTCTCTCTCTCTCTCTCTCTCTCTCTCTCACACACACACACACACACACACACACACACACACACACACACACACACACACACTTGGTGTACATGCCTGAATACAGATGCAAACAGATAGTTACACTCACACAATGTGTAAAACCACGCCACATACTTAGTACATTGTGTTTGAGAGGCATTAACAGTTAGACATTAACTGTTAGCAGACATCTTGATAGATCTTCACCATGACAACAGTAGTAATCACTGGCCATTAAATCTCTCCACCCAACTGCATCATGTTTTCTTATGTTCTGCTGTCCAAGCATGTTTCATGTTTGGAGTATTGATGGGAAGAGACATCAGTCAGGCTTAGACAAGTTTACAAGATTGTGCTTCTATTGGTAGAGTGTACTTCAGCAGCAGCAGACTTATGTAAGATTTAAAATAGAACAATTATTGGTTTATCTACTAGAGTGATATACGATATGTTATGTTTTTTCTTTATCAATCAATCGACTCAATCATTGTAGCTCTAGTATGTAGTGGCAAAACTTAAATACTTATTATTATGATACTTACTTGTTATTCAGTAGTTCACAATATAAGAGCAGCAAGTGCCTTTCCCCATTGTTTATCTGTAATTGCGTCTGTCATTCCTGATGCACTAAGTACACTGCTATGTGGGCTGAAGGCAACAAACAAAATAATATTTCAATCAGAAGACCTGAATTCTCACAGTGACTTAACCAGTGATATTATTATAATGAGGCTATTACTGAACTAGATTAATCAATCAATTCATAAGAGGTGTTGTAAATTAAAACATGCTTTTTCTTTACTGGTGAAAGAGGTGAAAAACATGATTTCCATGAAATGCAAATGTTATGTGTATTATCATGGGGAACCTTACAAATGCAAATGAAAAACACCTAGGACTCAGCAGCTCCATGCCCACTCCTTCAGTAGAGTAGCCTTACCCGTAATAGCCCAGATTTCATTGTCCTCCACAGACAGAGCAATGAGATGGACTGTATATGGAAAAGATCACCGTGGCAACAGGAGCCCCAGTTTGAGAAGCTGGGATAGTGGAGGCTGAGGCCTGGCCTAATCAATGCCTCACTGTCTCAGTAAATCTTGTACTGGAGGGCACTTTCATCCATGAAATTACTACCTGAATCATTGCTGACTGACAAAAATACATAAACTGGGAGAGGAACAAGAAATAAGGGATTAGATATGAGAGGTGCAGGACATTGTGCACATGCAAGGATTTATGAGTAAACACTAAGAGGTCAATTAGAGGTCATCCGTTAAGAATAGGAAAGAGAATAACTATTTATTCCCAAGCATTTCTAGGACAAGACAGAATAAGATAGTGGCCCTGGTTGTGCACATTACACAGAGAAAACACATCTGCTAGATGAAACTTTGCTATTCTTTGATCCTTAAAAGTAAGGGATGAAAAACATACATTTTGGCCTGATGGTGGTGCCAGTGTTTGGGCTTAGGGCTTAGGAGAGGTCATATTATTACTTAAATCAAATTTCTTCAAATCTCCGTGGAGTGGCCATTTTAAGATGTAACAAACAAAACCTTTTCAGGCTCAGTTCTGCACTGTGAGATTTGGCCCATATTTCATCAGCCTTTTTCCTCACTCAAGTCCAATCATTCAGACCCTAAGACAAGAGAGAAAGACTTCAGACATCAGGGATTCCTGACAGCTATGATATCGCCTGCTTTGCAACCAGAACTGCAGAGGTGTCAATGAACTGCTGGAAACATGGCTGACAAGCGACCAATGCTGACAGTGACATCTAAATAAAATCCAATATTAATCAATTCAGCTACTTGTTCAGACACTGCCACAAATACTTAACACAAAAAGTAGCTCATTTAGGCCATTTATCTGGTCTGACTACAAAGCTGGCAGTGCAAGTAATCATCTTGGAATAATGCTTGAACACTCCTAAGACATGATAATGGGAGGTCTTCCTCTCTTCCCGTTCTATCGACATTGTGTGAATGCAGCATAAACTCTACTTTGTCAGCCTCAGGTGCAATAAGGCCCAGCTGTGCATATATATTATATATATATATATATATATATATATACATATATATATATACACACACACACACACACACACACACATACACACATACACAGTACATATATATATATATATATATATTTATATGTTTGTGTGTGCGTGTGTGTGTGTGTGCATGTGCGCGTGCGTGTGTATGTATATACTGTATATATAAACATACATACATATGTGTGTGTATGTGTGTGTGTGATCTATTTATACATAATATATTTACATATGGTGGAGTGCAAAAGACTGAGACCACTTTCCCATTCGCTTAGATGGATGGTATGTTGTGTTGTGTAGCATTTCGTTATTTCCATCATATTCACTTCCTAATTTCTGAGGGTAAAATTGGACAATACAGTAAGGACACTAGGACCCTGCAGAGACAGAAGCTCTGGTCCTATTTCTCACTGCCTCCTGCTCCATCTCTGCAGTCACTGTGTGTGAGTGGTGGGGGAAAGCAGAGAGTGAGCTGGTGGCTTTGCAAGAATTTGCATCAGCATCGTTTCAGAAAAATCTCTGCTGCCACAGCTGTAGTCATCCAGGGAGGAGGGTGCACAAGGCAGATCAAGGGGACGAGAAGAGAAACAGGCTCTTACAGTGGCAAGTACCTCAGCAGCATTCATAAGGTACAGTGATTGATGTCCAATGTGTACCTCAGCAGTGGGAGCTAAAGCAGGTTTTCATCCTCAGAGACCAAAGCAGCAGACAGATGTATCAGGAAATACTCTGATTTAGGTACATCATGCTCTCTGCCTTGTTGTCTCTCTGTTTCTTCCCATCATGCTGCCTGATTCTCACCACATTTTCCTACTTGTTCTCATCCTCTTCTTCTAATCTGCTGATTACATACTGTTGAGCGCAACCAATAGATCTAATTCAATTGTAATGTGATATATAGAACGTGGGCCTTGATTTATACAGTGGGTGTAATGCATTAATGATTAATATATAAATGAGTAGGCGGTAAGACATGACTAAACCAGGCAGGAGGGTTAAAGTGAATTGGGAGTACCCCTATGTGTGATTTAGAGACACTGCTCACTGAGGGCAATCATTCATAGGTGATGAGGGAGGTTAGAGCTCAGTTTTTAGCCTGATTTGTACTATTATCACTGCAGACAGGACACAGAACATCTCTGGCTTTTTGTTGCATCTGTGGCAGAGAGCTTTCATAGCAGCAAGCAAATGGGTTTTCTTGATCTGACACATATATACAGCAGCAGCCACCCATGTCTGTTTGTTGTCTGTAATAGCGAGACACAGTTAATATGCAGACAGCCTCTGCAACCTATGAATACCCTCAGGTTTTTTTCATTTGAAATACTTAATTCGCTCATACTTAGTGATCAGGACTTCCGTAGTGGCAGACATCCGATTGTGGCTTATGTACAAAAGCAAAATCCACACACATTTAACCTGGACCTACATACATGGGGTACGCATTGGCAAGGCCTTCCTGCAATCCATGATTGTTTATTTTTGTTGGAAAAAGTAGCCATACACAGTCAGTTTAGACCAGTGGTACACATATCCAACAAGAACTCTCTCAGCAGGTGTAGATGTGATGGTAAAGGTCTATTTCCTATTCAGTGATAGGATTGGTTTTAGGGAATTAGCTTGCATTCATGCATTGACAGGATGTGTGCTTGAAAAGTATTCAACTGCTGCTCCTCGGACCAGACCGGATTTATCCTTGACATAAATAAAACTGTAAAAAAAAAGAAAAAAAAGAAAAAGATCTGAAATCCCATATTTGCATTTTTCTATGTGATCACTGTGATCATCAACATGTATTTGCATGTAACATGTATGCACGACAGATTTGTTAACGTGGCTCAAAGTCTGATGCATGATGATTTATGATTGTTCAATTCATTTTACTCCTGCAGTTCTCTCAGCATGTTGCTAAAGAGGTGCCAAATGTTCCTGCTTTGAATAATGCATACTTAATTGAGTTAATTGGTTTGAGGGCTGGCTTTGGATTACCTTATCAGTTAGATTGCCTTAACAGAGATTTGAGAAGGTACGGAAGGATTCTATAAAACTTCATCCGAGTGAATTAATCTTAATGGTAGCTGGGGCAAAAGTGAAAATCAGCATGAGCAACTGATTGGTACAATTAGTTCATATGACTCACAAGTGCAAATAAGAGGCCACCTATGACAGGAATAGATATGCGAACGAAGGCACAAATACACTCACAGTTTATCTTCCTCTGCCTTTCTCTGTTGTTTTCAGGGTGGGTTGTAACTGACTGAAGACATGAAGATTTTCTAAATGGATAAGAATCATAAACTCTGAACCTCCTGACAATCACAGCATCATCCTTCGGACTATAAGGCAGCCTTTGACCTCATTTTCAAGCCTCTGTTTTCTGGCCGTACTTCCTGGCTTTGAAGGATGGGTGATGGGCCTGTGACTGATCCTGCCTGCCTGCCTTATCCCACCCTTCAATGGAGCCGATGTGGAACTCCTCCCACCCACCTCCACAGCTCATGTCCAACATGTCTGCCTCCTCTCTGCCTGAGGGCTGGGCTCTGTCCCAGTCGCTAGCCCTGCTGGCCATGCTGCTCATGGATCTGCTGGCTGTGGTGGGTAATGTGGCTGTCATGGCGGTCATTGCCAAGGCCCCACAGCTCCACAAGTTTGCCTTTGTCTTCCACCTGTGCGTGGTGGACCTGCTGGCAGCCCTGGTGCTGATGCCCCTTGGCATGCTCTCAAGCCGAGCGTTCTTCGGGGAGGCCCTGTGCCGGAGCTACCTCTTTCTCAGTGTGTGCCTGGTCAGCGCTGCCATCCTCTCGATCTCTGTCATCAATGTGGAGCGTTATTACTACATCATACACCCTATGCGCTATGAAGTGAAGATGACTGTTGGCCTGGTAGCATCAGTGCTGGTGGGGATATGGGTCAAAGCCCTGGCCATGTCTGCTCTGCCGCTGCTTGCTTGGTTCCTGCAAGGTGGAAAAACTCCTCTTTTGGAGAGTGGTGGGGTTGGAGGAGGAGGAGGTGGGGCTGTCCCATCTCCCCCTGCTCAGGGTCACAGGCGCTGCTCACTGCATTGGACAGGGGGAGGGTCAAACCGCTTGGCCTTCATGGTCCTATTTACTCTGGTCTATTTCCTGTGTCCACTGCTTGTCATTCTTGTTGTGTACTGCAATGTGTTCAAAGTGGCTCGGGTAGCTGCCATGCACCACGGGCCTCTGCCCACCTGGATGGACACACCTCGTCGCCAGCGGTCGGAATCACTCAGCAGCCGTTCCACTATGGTTACCAGCTCTGGGACGGGGACAGGGACAGGAAGAGCCACTCCACAGCGCCCCTTTGGGGGAGGAAAGGCTGCAGCAGTGTTGGCGGCAGTAGGTGGGCAATTCCTCTGTTGCTGGCTGCCCTACTTTACTTTCCACCTGTATTCAGCACTGGCTGCCAGCCCCCCAGCCACACTGGCCTCTCTGGAGGAAGTGGTCACCTGGATTGGCTACTTCTGCTTTACCTCCAATCCCTTCTTCTATGGCTGTCTCAACAGACAGATCCGGGAGGAGCTGGGCAAGCATCTGCCTTGTCTGTTTCGTCGAGCAGGGGTTGAGGTGGAGGACAGACTGCCCAGCCGTGAAGGATCCATAGAGGAGAATTTCCTTCAGTTTCTTCAGGGCACCGGCTGCAACTTGGATCCTCAAAACTCTCACAGCACCTCCAGTCCTAAGGGGGAGGCCTGCTGCCCCATGGCTCAGTCCCAACCAACTGAGCCAGCACAGCCGATACCCATTGATTTCCGTATCCCTGGACAAATTGCAGAGGAGACTTCAGAGTTTATTGAGACTGAACAGGTGAAAAACAACCACATATATACAGACAATTAAGTTTTTAATGTCTTTATTTCCTGAAAATAAGTCTAATTTTGGTCATTTGAATATAAAGTGTTTCAGGGAAACATGTTTCTCTATTTCTACTGAAAGCTGCCCAACAGGTAGCTCCGTTAACTGAAATGACTTTAAATTGTATCTTTGAATCATTGCACTTTGCCTCATCAAATTTCCATCCTAGTTTTTGAAAACAGTCACAGTGATACAGGTAAATGCATTTGTTTGACATGCCTTTCAGTCGGTTGCTTGTGACCAGGAAAATTACTGGTAGATTTAAAAAAAAAAAGAAAAAAAAAAGGCAGTATTTTGGCCTTCCACACAACCGCACAGCTCTGTACAGTAAATGACTCAGTGAATTAATATTAATGTAACTTTTTGAAGTAAAAATAACATTAAATATATGTTTGATCCTATGATGCCAATTGAATGCCATTCAGAGATAAGTGTCAGAATATCCCTTTTGATCTCAAATTAGTGAATACTGAATTGCCTTTGGTATTCAGAAGAAGTTTAAACGCTCCAGACACCAACAGATACTGTATTTGTAACTGTCAAATCAATCATTTTGAGACTCTGGCAAGTTGATTATTTTTTAAAAGAGTTTTCTAAATTACTGAAAGAAAAGAAACTTCAAGGAAGACAGCAATAAAATACACACAATTGTTTAGGGGTTCCATTGAAGGAAAAGCACTACTGTCACTTTTGAGTGGTAGGTGGGCTTTCATCGGTGATAATGCCACTCTAACCCTTAAGCCAATCTGATCATATTAGATTAGGAGGCAGACATATTGTGGCCTAACTCTCATGGAATTGCTACGAGTTGTTTACAGACAAACTTCTGAATTTTGTTCTCCTTTCTTTGGTGCTTGTCCACACGTTCTTGTTTGGTTTCCTAAAAAACGAGCCAGATCTGTTGTGACTCAGTTTAGGAAGTAAGTTGGCTTTATAACTCATCTTAAGGGTCACCCAGCTTTCTGCCATGTGATGTATTTATCAGTATATTTGGATATAGATCTTAAAAATCAGTATTCTATTGATGCACTGCATTACATTCAAATATGATCCTTATTCTTGCATTTGTTAAATGTACTAAACTGTATGTTACGTTTAGTAAAACTGTATAAGTTTGGGTTGTGTATGCCACTCACCACACCCATTTTTCTTTTGATTAGTGAGTGTAAGTATTTGTTATGAATTTCATTACAAGGAGGCCGATGTATTTTGACACGTATGCAGTAACTGCCTTCTTTGTGTGTTTTTCAGCTGTGGAAATTTTTATCCCGGAAGGAGAATACATGTCGATTTTTTTGACTGCCCTGCTCATCAGGGTTTTTACAGTACCTCAGATGCAGGAAAAGAAAAAAAACATTATTTAACAGCCCTGTGCATTTCCATGTCAAGTGTGACTCCTGCACACTTTATTCTAATGTTGTAAGGAGACTAAAGAGGATGTGATTGCTTGTTGAGGTTTTATTAGAAATGAGGGTGTAGACTTTGCTAAGTTTTTCAGCTTGAGTTTGATGATGAGATGAAGTAGTATTTTATAGCAAATTGTTAGGGATTAATATGATAAAATGTATGTGGAAAAGTATGATTGAAATATCAGATCCTTTCTTAATGTGCAAACAGGGTTTTTAAGATATTTTTTCAGTGACAAAGCCAAGCCCAAATCAAAAGCTTGCTGAGCTTGATCTCTTCTTTTCATCACGTCTAAATATCCCAAACTGTGAATGACATTGAATGTTTGTGTTAGGATTTTCACTTGGTCAGATTGTTTTTTTTTAATGCTGTGATTAAAATAAAAGAATTACTTCCACTGTACTGCAATGAAATGAATGTGTTTAGAAAAAAACATGGCTAAAACTTGAGTGAGAGATGCTGTTGTAATAAAGAGTTTCTATGTTTGTAAAACATTTTCGATGCATTCTCATAATTTAATCAATGGTGTGTGGCTGCTGTCACAAATAGAGTTACCATCTGCCTTTTTCTGTATTTTTGGACTCTGGGAGTCAGTGTGTGTGGCACAATCTCCCTGCTTTGCTTTGATATCCTATTGCAAAAAGAGAAGGTAGGAGGATACAGTTCAAACACTTTGACCTTAAGGTAACATTTAAACCTCAAAGGCCAGAGCCAGTGGTATGACCTTTTTAAGAAAGAAAAGATAACTGTCAGATAGATAGATAGATAGATAGATAGATAGATAGATAGATAGATAGATAGATAGATAGATAGATAGATAGATAGATAGATAGACAGATAGATAGATAGGGAAATAATGTTAAACTGTACTCAATCACATCCATCCTGCTACTGTTTAATGCTGTTTCAGTTGGAAGATGCTGGTGTGTGACAGGCCTCACACCTCAACGATGGACCTCAGTCAAACCGCCCCCAGCTTCACCAGACTCTGCCATCCCCATGGCAATTATTACCTAGTGACATTTCTCAGAGCTGTAGTGGGCGGTAGGAGGAGCTTGCTCTATTGGGAATCCAACAAGACACCCTTATCTGTGACTTCTTAAAATATATTTCTAGACTAAACTAGAGCTGACACATGTTTTTGTTATTCTCTCACAATCTGGGGACTGTTTGTGTGAGTATTTCATACTGTAAACTGAAATAACCCTTCCTATTCTGTTGTTTAGAATTACCTTTGATTATTTCCATGTAATCTTGGATTGCCTTATCTTTTTACTTAGAAATTAAATCATTACTGTTATATTCTGATACAGATTTACCTTATCATGATCCAAAATCAAAATGAATTGTTATTTCACGTACTGTGTGAAATGTTTCCATACATACAATTTGTTTGTAAAAATAATTAAGACTTTTATCCTTGCATTTACATTACAAGCAAATTCAAACCTAACCTGTACGGTTACCTGAATGTCTGTTTGGACCAAAGCAATACAAAGCAAACAGCTTTGTATTGCTTGTACAGCAACTAGAAAACATTGCTGTTAACAAAAGAACAACGCAAGCTGTAAACAAAGTATTTTAAAGGATTTTCGAAAGCCAGCGATAAGGTGTAGGACAGGTAGAGTAAGACTATATGACATGATAGCTGGATTAGTGCAAAGAAAAGAGTGTTAAGCATCACAGTATGAACTGAGAGCCTTCAGTTGAATGAAGGGCATTTAGCTGGAGCACAATTATAAACCATGGCCTGGAGAATGTGGGGGATGCACAAGGAGCCAAAACAGGAAGTGAAAATTGGAAGTGAGATGAAAATGCTGAAGAAAAGGAAACAAGTATGTAGATTATTATGGAACAAAGCCTGGAACATTAAAAATACCTAAATGGATCCCGTACTAGCTTAAAGCTGAAGTAGTTAATATTTTTCCGTTGGGGGCAGTGCAATTAGCTGAACACTCACACACTGCCATTATATAAGGTTGTTATGGCAAACATCTTAGCAAGCATTTACCTATTCATGCATGTGGCAGACACCAAGCAACATTATCATTCATCTGGAGTAGCTTTCTGGCTACCTGACAAATTTAAGTCCAATAGTTGCTCTCCTCTCCTTGCTCTTGTTTGGTCTCTGCTAATTCCAGAGGAAAATATCTGTCTCTTTAGCTGCTAAATGGTGCACTATGTTCATCAGCTAGGCACTTACTTTGCCTGGCTGCCGTTTGGTGTTGGGCAGATTGTGTACATTGGCTTCATCTGAGCTTTTCTTTGAAACTAGCTGCTGCTGCATCTGGAAACAACACTATGACAGTGCGGGGTGTAAAACCAAAACCATGAGCTGAAAGATGCTAAAATGCTTGGTTTGTTACTACGAGTGACGCCTTTTACACAACACTTTTTCATTTGATCCATTTTTATTGTAAAAATGTTTAAGCTTTAAAAACCATGTTCCTATTACACATTATTCTCTACACCAGTAGTAGAGAACTGTATTATAGGCCCTGTGCCACTATCAAGAGGGCAAATTTATAATCATAAGCACTCTCGATTGATCTGTATTGATCTCGATGATGTTAGCCATATGGAATACAGTAGCCATGGTAAAAGTTTGGCTTCAAATAAGCATTTTTGGGAGATTAGGAACAGTAGTCCTCAATGTATTCTGCTGCCCACTGTGTAGACCAGCTGCTCACTCAAAATCTTATTTCAGTTGTAATTGTCATTGACCTTGTTTTCAAAGGGCAGAACTGTCACTGAACAAAGCCAAAAAGTTGACTCCAGATGGAGGTTGTTGCTTTACATCACATGTTTCCTGCTGCTGGTCATCAAGATGAAGTGGAGACAGATGGACAAGAGGATTGAAGCCGGATTCTGTGGCAGAAACTGACCTAGACAATGGGGTAGACAGGGAGAACAAGAAAACAATGGTAACAAAGCTAACAGAGAGAAATGATAAAGCAGAGAAACACAGTCGAGTTCACATGGATAAGCACCCAAGTCAAATTTTGAGAAGCACATAAATGGAGGCACAAAACAGTAATGCATCTATATGTCCAGATCCTACTGATGATCCAGTCAATCACCTCGCTCAAACTGGAACCTCGTATGGTACTAGTGAACTGAAGTCTTATCTGTTGGTTTTAATAAGGGTCAATGGTTTTTATTCATGAGTGACACACATGGTTGAATGAAATGTTGGACTTCAGTCCCGAAAGCCCCGAGTCAGCAAACACTGCAATGTGTTCCCAATTTTACTTGATGTTTCTGGCAGTCTTTCAGTTTGCTTTTGAAATTACCATGTCTGGTCGTTCTTTTAACTGAATACACAAACTATAGTGTTTGAGGCAATTTACGGCTAATTTACTCCTTAAAAGCTGGTGTGTATTGTGTTGAAAGTGGGGTGTGGCCAGTGGTACTGTTATTTGATTCTTTGAACTTTGAGATAGTTTTACTTTAGCATTTCCAATTTCTTATACACTCTACCTCGACCACATTTCAGGGGGAAATATTGTACTTTTCACTTCACTACATTTATTTAACAGTTGCAGTTACTACTTACTTTGCAGGTTAAGATTTTAAGCATATTAAATATTATTTATCACTATGTATTAAATAAAACAAATAATTAGCTACTTAGGTCCACCTTAGCAACAACATTAGAATGAAGCTTACATGTTAATAAATCAGTATAAATAATCCAACAATATATAATGTATGACAATATACTATAACACTGACTGGGCCATTCAGTGATTTTTACTTGCAATGGAGCACTTTCATATTGTGGCTACTTAAATTTCCCATTGCACCCAGAAACCAACCAGTGCATTAGAGCTAATGGTAAGTTAATTAATCAATGTGTTGATTGGAAAAAGAGTAAATTGGCAGCAAGACGATTTTCTTTTGTGATCAGATAAAACAAGACATTCGGAGTACGTTAAGGAATAATGAAATTTTATTCTATTTTCTGACATTTAATGCACTAAACAATCAATTGGTTTTTAAAGAAAATAATTGTCAGAAGTGATGAAAATGAAAATATAATTTAATTCCCCATAATAAGCATACCTGATGGTCGTTTACTGCCCCTATACAACACAACTACTGTCTCCCATGTACAACAAAACCACTTCAAAGTACAGTTCCTGGGCACGAGACCTGATCAAATCTTATCTAACTTTGACATGGACAAAAAGGAGCTCATCTCCTTCTCTACTCCCTGCCTGGGTGATTTGAGGACATTTCTCGACCTCTACTCACCCTCACAGCAGGCGGCGCCTTTAAAACTAAAACTTCGCCTTTCTTTTGAGGAAACTGCTTTTACGTCAAAACAAAACCCCACCTAGCCGAGCAAAGGTAAAAATTACCCCCCGGTTACTATTTACTAGCTTAAATTAGGCTGTTTTGGTATATTCTGCTAGCTAAGGTAAATACTTAAACGTCTGACGTTGGTCATAAGCTGATAAATTGACGTTACAGGCATCAAACTGCTGTTAGTTCGTCTCACAGTGAACTGCTAACTAGTTGGTTTAACTTAAGCTAACGAGAGGCGTACGTAAAACTTAGCTATGTGAAAAACACGTTTTTTTTTTGTTTTTTTTAGCAAACTACCCGATAGTTTCCAGTCTTACAGTAACTTTAATCAGGCTCCACGGTGCTCGGTGTAGCCGTAGCTGATAGCTTTTCTGCTTCTTAGCTATCTTCTGCCAGTTTAACTTACTGTGCTGTGTTGCTGTGTGTTTTCAGCAGGACATTCCCCGTCTTCACTCGCCACAGTGAGTTTCTGCTCGACGCTGGTCCTCAACAATGTCAGGTGGTAAGTCAGCAAGCAGTGACACAATGCAAACATCTGTCAAGACTACAGTCAGTCATACAATACACTTTTACTGTTACATAAAACATTATCCAATATGAATCAAAAGTATTCACTCCCCTCTATGTTTCTTTGAGGTTATCTTCTTATATTCAGTCTCGGCAATAACAGGACTACTTCATCCCCATACAATTCTCATATATACTGGCAATTTTTCTCATTTGTGTTAGAAGTACATGCTGTATATGTGCAAGGGTGTCTGTGTCGATCCTCAGCTATTCATGTAAAAGCCTGACCCACTGAATTCACAGAGACATATTCTTTTAAAACAGACCACAAAAATGTCAGGACAGTCCTGTACAGGGTGTACCTGCAAAGCTGTGAGCGGGGACTGCAAAGTTTCAAGAAAAACATTTCATGATAAGATGTGTTAAAGAATATTGTCTGCACCGAACACCGAGTCATGTCACCTGCACAGTTTTATTTTCAGACACTAACTAACCCTGATAGAAAACCACTAAAAACTATTTTATCATTATTATATTTTAATAAATGTCACATTTTTGTGATTTATCTTATTTTGAACTTGGTCATTGTAATCTGTAGCACACTGCCAGCATGCAGTCATCTCAGGTTGTCCTGTGGGATAGTGTAAAAGAAATTGTGTTTTGTGGCTTATACGTGGTTGTGTGCTGAACTTTAAACCCCCATCAGAATGTGGCTAAACAGAAATCAGCAACCCACCTGATATTGCAATCTGGCCTGGAAAATTCTGGACGTTTGACTCTAAATGCCACTGCTTACCTCAAGCTTGAATGCATAAGTCAGGGGGTTTAGTTGTTGGACACTTTATTGTCTTTAGTGGCCTTGCAACAACTAATGTGATTTCTACATCCTCTGACACAGACTTTATAAGAAGAAGTGAGTATGAGAAGGAGTACTTACAGTTACATGGTCACTATGACATGGCTGAGGTGGCAGCCTAATGGTAACTGTTTCATGACTTCCCCCTACTAATGTCTTAAGTTAAGAGTTGTTTTAGTGACTGCCCTTTGTTTACAACAAAACCCTAACTCTTACAGTACAATACCTCATTAAAAATCCCCTTACTCAAAAAGCAAGCTTACATAAAAACAAACAAATAAACATATATCGTTAATTGTCTAGTCCTGGTGATTAGCAGAAGCAGTGCTATTATTAGGAAAAAGCAATGCAAACTGTGCTTTGTAAGAAGCTACAATAATCCTAGGTTTGTTTTTCTTATGCATAAACTAGCAAACTAGTCTTTGCATGCAAGGTGTAGGTAATCTAATTAGAGAAAATTATGTTTTGTTCAGTTGGCTTTGATGCCGTTTTACATTTTACATTACATATAAAAAGGCTAGGTTTTTCTTTTTTTGAGTGTATGGCCTCTGCAAACAAAATGCTGAATTCCATGAACTTTGCTCTGAAGGAGTGAAAAAAAAATCCCCAAGCAGCCAGTGATATGCACAGTGGTCTCATTTTTAGCAAGAGGGTGTGCAGACAGAAAGCGTGACTAAGCAGCAGAGGCAAAGAGAAAACCAAAGAAGGAATAGCAAGAGCTATCAGGGTAACATAATTTCCTTCTGTTTCCAGGTAAGGGGCCTTGAGCATGTGAGTGATCTGGTTTTTAGCAAAATGTGACATATTTGTAGGGGTAGTTAAGATTTTTCTTTCAGACAAAAGTAGGCCTCTGTTTTTTAGCCTTTGCTGCTGTTACTGCACCAGATGGTGAGCGTCAGCTCTCTCAAAAACTGGGTCAGATTCAGAAAAAGCTGGAGACACCCTAAAACAAGATTTTTTTTTTAATTTGGCAAAGATAAACCTTGACTTCTTCCACTTTTTTCTGCTGCACACCAGATTTATGTTTGAAAGACGTTACTGACAAGCTCATTTAACAGATGGCTTGATTTTTTTTAATTTGATTGTTGTGTTTACAGGTCTGTTAACATAGTTTGAATAGGTTTGTGATTGAAATGCAGTCTTAAGTAGTTTTTAACCAAATTTCACAGTAATCCTAACAAAGAGTGGCTTCTAGTTTGTGTTTTAGATGATCAGTTTAGAGATCAGTGTAATATATAATAGAGTGTGGTGACTGTTGAATGCCAAGTGTAAAAGTGGTCACACTTCATGACATTATCAGCATTCAAAGCATACCAATTCCCCTGTAATGCAGTGTTTTTGTTTCCTAGCGAATAAGTTGCTAAAAGTCCTAAAGTTGCTGGACCAGCAATCTTGTGCTCGGAGGAGACAAACATGTTATGTTGTCTAACTGCATACATTTTTTATACCACTAGATGGGGATCTTTACTCGTATTTTTACCCCTTGTGCTCTACCCCTGTTCAGTGATAGAATCCAGATGGTCCAAAATGCTCTTTAAGACCAATATTAGATATTTCCCAGGCTATCTTAATATACAGTAGATGTGGTGCAGTTTGTAGATATATGTATATTGATCTGTGACATGAACTGAGTCATTTTGTATTTTATGTATGCCTAGGGAGTCTAAAAAAAACATATTTTGAAAAGCCAAATTGGAGCTATCATGAACACTGGCAGTAAAATGTATTAGTGTAGTTTTGTATTGTCTCAGATATATATAAATATATGTGATAAACAACAACTTTAAACTTGTAGTTTTGAAAAAGAGTTTGAAGGTTTTATTTTACAGTTTAGTGATGAGTGTGTTTAACAATATGTTTCAGTGACACAAAATGTAATTAAAAAAAAAAAAGTGTCAGTAAAAAAAACAACTATAGCTTGTTTTGTTTTGCTTGATCAGTCTCCTGACTTTAGGAGGTTTGTGTGGTTACTACACTTTCAATAAAAGTGTATATTGATAATGATAAATGCTAAACTACAAGAACCACATGAGAATGAGGGAAAGCTGTGCATGTACTGTACTTTTCAGGGGTTGGTTTACTGGCTCTTGTTGGGCATTGGTTTTGTCACTATTTATAATACTTCATGTCAGGTGGGCCTGTGCTATGTGTGTGTGCCGTAGCCTGAGCTCTCTGTCTCCCCTCAGAATTTTCCAGCAAAGAAGATTGGGAGTTCACTAGTCAGCTTACACACTAAGCTGGTGTCTCTGCTTATCCACACTGACCGTTCTGTATTCTTTGCCTTTTTTCGTCACTTGCCGTTCATCTGGATCCACCGTGTTTTTTTTTCTTGGCTGAATACACATTCTCATGACATCGAGTGTATCTAATTCCTATTTTTAGATGAGTGGAAAAAACTTTTGTCCTTCGCTCACCTTGGCGCTCAGCTGGCGGGGTGTAGTCGGTCTCCAGGCTTGCTCGCTGTCATGCTAGCTACACACTTTGATCTGCAATGCCCTCCTCTGTGGCTATTTTCCCCTGCATTGGCTACAGGAAGCTCATTCCCTGGTTGCTAGGGCAACCAAGGAGGATGGCCCCTAGCAGGAGCGGGGGAAGCCTTGGGCTGCCTTTCAGCTCGTCGCTTTGCAGCATGCCTGCTGACCTGCTGCTGGCAGGGAGGAGGAGCCAACTCTGCAGAGGAGCTTCTCCCGGCCCAGTATGGGTCCTGTCGCCCCGCTGCCCCACCATGAGACAGAGCTCCAGCATTAGAGCTACTGCTCCTCTCTCCCTCTGCTGGCCACTGCGCAGCTCTGACTCGCTCTGCTCCAGTAGTAACAGGAGCACAGACGGCAAGATGTCATCCTCTTCCTCCACCTCCTCCTCTACCACCGATGGACAAGGGAAGCCTAAACCTAAATCCCCGTTTCGCAAGAGGGGGAGTTTGCAGAGCACCACCAGCCCTGGTGAGTGGGTGAGAGGGGGTCCCATAGAAGGAGTGAGGGAACTCTATTACATGATGGCTGGTTCAGAAAATTACACAGATGCGTTTGCAGTGGCATTTAAGAATCCATGCTGCCCCACAAGGAGCAATAAGACAGAGAACTGAGTTTACAGAGGTAGGGACTGCTGCAACTCCAGTTACTGTGTCAGTTTTATTTCAGACGTTATTGAATTTGTTTGAAGCTTTGACTGATGTTGTGTATTGCTGCTCTATGTGCATGTAATGCATTCATTGCTTCAACTAGGGCTGAAACTGAGGTAATCTAATGATAATTGGTATTGTTGTTATTTTCACGATTATCCATTTAATTGTTTAGTGTATAAAATGTCAGAAAATATGGACTAAAGCACATTGCGTGTTCTCAGAGTCCTTGACTGTCTTTTACTTTCGAATTGTGCATGCTGCTGAAACATCACACTATTTGTACTTCAGGAACCACCATTTGATAGTGTTTCCCACATAGATATGCACACATTTTTGTATTTACTATTTCTAGCTTTAAAATCTTTGTGTGAGTCTCTGTGTAAATACAGTACAATTGCAGATAGATGGAAACATATGCTCTAATGGTGCGTGAATATCCAAGTTTGCAAGTTGACTTTAATACTGTGGTTTCCTGGGGTTGACCACTTAGACTTTTGGAACCCTGAAACACAGGAGTTCATTTTAAACATTTATTTTCCTTGTTTGCATAGTGAATATTGGAGATAATATAATCTAATTTATTAAAATTGATAGGCAGGGGATATTTGCATTATTGCTGGATTGTAACAGGTTGCTCAGCCCTTTAATGGGCCCGTTGGCCTGTTTGCCCCCCCTGTACCAATAAGAGTTTATCAAGGGTCTACTGGCTGTGGACTCTGCTTATCTTATCAGTGTCAGTTAGACAGAACAGTGCGGTACTTTTGTCTTGCTTCTTCACTTCTCCAGCTGTTTGGCCACAGCCTCAGTAATTTTGTTTAGGAGAATATCCAGTGACTGTGAAGAAACTATCATTACATCAGTGACAGGCATATATCATGGTCCTCTAATTTTGAGCCTTGAAATATTTTGCTACTACAGCTAAGGTTTTACTGCATTTTATACTCCGTCGAAGTTTCCGTTTGAATCCTCTATCAACATCAAAGATACGATAACTATAAAAAACTGAGTCTCTCACTAAGTGTATTTTTAGCATGCTTAAGTGACTGACCCGTGGACTGTAGCGGTTCAAACAGATGCTATTCTTTGAATAACACATTTCTTATTAACATTTGCAACCTGATGATATGATTAAAACATATATTTTAACATAGTAAACACATTCATATTTTAATCAGTTACAACAGGCCTTCTTCTCTGGCATGTGATGGAGTGTTTGCTATTAGTGTTACACTAGTGTCAGTTCACGATGTGTGTGCAGGGGTTTGATTAACATGTTAGAGTGATAGGAGACAGGCCAACTGATGGTAGCTCTGTGATTACCTTTGGAGTTCATGGTAACTGGTCTCTGTGGACAGAAACCAGAGAGTTAGAGCAGCAATTTATCTATAAAGCAATTAAATGTTAATATTGATTTAATTTGAAGTTACTTCCTCATTGTGCCATAGCACAGCACAAATGTTCAGTGTTTGGAGGGATGCAGCAGCAGATCTCACTCAGTAACTCACGTTGACACACAATATATTGTATTTGCTGAGGAAGCCTGTCTTTGCTGCAGTAATAAATAACTTAGAGGTCTCTCCATCCATGCAGACATTTAAGTCCTTTCAATTAGCCGCTTGGTTGAGCTCTCTGCACTCCCAGTCTCTTATAAAAGCCACATGTAGGCTTCCCAATATAGTACTTCCATCTGACCACACCAGTCTATTAGCATTCTTGATGCCAAATTGCTGCTGTAGAAAAATCTACTGTAGCTACAGCTTGTGCACTTCGTGTTTAAACTAAGTCACGAATTGGAGGCTTCAACATTTCCTGTGTTTCTTCTTGTAACATCACCAGAAATAGCTCTGCTCCACGGCATCTTTCCTTTCAAGAACCTCTGAAGTTTTTTTTCTTTGCTGTTGGAAACATTGATTACTCAGTCAGTTTTCTCATCTGCAGGAATCTGTCTCTGCCTGCAGGCCTTTCTCTCCCACTGGACCCTGATTGCATCACATGAAGCAGAATATGTAATGCCCTAGCTTTGCAGCTATATGACGTGATATATATAGGCTGTTAAAGTATCTGCCAGAGAGGTGGTGGGATTTCCTTTCTCTAGCATAAATCACTACTGCACTTTCTGTTGTGATCCGATACAGTCTCTCTTGATCTTCACTAACTTACTGGCCTCTGACTTAACACCATCTTGTGAAGCTCGTATATATAGGCTGTCTGGTAGTCTAGCTTGTCATTTGATTTTTGTAGGAAAATATTTTCTTTGTTTCTTTCAACTTGGCTTGTCAACTCACTTACATTTGCAAAGTCCTGTGATGGCTGCCTCATTACATGATAACCCACTGTGGATTTTTGTTCTCTGTATGGTAATGTAGAATTTAGATGGTCTCTGGCATCTACACTTTGCATACAATTACAACTTTCCACTGACTCAAGCATATTTTAAAGGTGATGCGGAAAATGCACTATGTATATACTTGTGAATATTTGTGTTATTCTAAATTAATGCATATTTTCATTTTTATTTATATTTTTTTGTGCTATAAGCTTTGTGTTACACAAGGCATGCACTCAAAATCATGAAACACACTGGCTGATGGTCAGATGACCCAAACAAGCACCAGTCACAGGCCATTTAAATTTTCAACTCCACATTGATTTGTAGGCTTCCTACTCAATGTACCTCCCTGCTGCAGTTGACTGCTCACTGTACTCCTTCCACTACTCCAGCCTCCCCCTGTTCTGGTTCATTATTAACCAGATATACTGTTCCTGTCATGCCATGTCTCTGTGGGCTTCTCTCCTGTAAGTGTATTCTGTATCTCACGACTTGCCGCATCATGTGAGCTCTGTTCTGTAACTCCCAGGGAGCTTTGTTACACTCGGAATGAATAATTGCCACATCCACACATTGTTTCCTTATGGACTTAAACCTGTACAACTGGCAGCCCCGTAACTTCACTGTTGTGGTTGTGGGTGTTACATCACATTGTAGGTGTCGCCCATTCTTGCTGAAAAGGTGTCACAGTAGGATTTTTGTCTTCACCACAGAGAGACAAAGCAGAACCTCAGTGCCACTGTGCAATTTAACCATCTTATTAATATTTTTAAACTGTATTTAAAGCATTGAGGGAGCAAGTAAAGACACATTTAGTACTAACCACAACTAAAAATGTATGGCAGTAATGACTTATGTATTACAAAATAGTCCTTAAACTTTATGTGTAATCAGTTATAGCAGTGGGGGATTTGGGGGATTTATTTTGGTGAAATATTTAATAAATTGTGAATATATTTAAGTATTTTCTGATGACATGTTTTATTTTTTACAGTACAATTTAATAGTGTACTTAATAGAGACAGCTCTGTACATCTCCATCTCGCCAATAGAGGGAGTACCTGGCACAAAAGTGCTGTGTAAAGCATGGACATACCATGGTGTAAAGTCAGACCATTAGTTTTAAACACGTGGCTGGTTGTTAGTGTCTCAGGTCTTTGGTTGTTCTTCAGTAAAGACATGACTGAAGACCAGTTTGCTCTGTGTTTAAGTGGAAAATTCCATGGCTTTCTGAAAGCTTAGTTGCTTCCCATGTAACAGTGGAAATGTGTCAGCTCTGGAAAATGGGGAACTAGGAACCAAGGCCTTGAAAGCTATCACACCAACAGGTGGGCCTGTTGTTGCTGGAGGGGACCAGATAGCCAGCAGCCTAACCATATCTGTCCTTTTAGTCATCACCACACACACACGCACTCACACACATAGGGCAGCTAGACTCAACATCATGTCACTGGACACACTGTTTCTCACTGGGGTGATTTGCAGGCTGACAGACTGTGCTCATACTCATGGTTATCATGGGTTGTATTTCATCGCAGAGGTACAGTTAAGCATGCTGCTTTGCCCTGTCTCTGCTCTCAGCATGGCTCCCAGTGAAGATCCATTTCCATTTAATCCATCTCATTTTTATCGCGGATGGACCAATGTCACCTGATGTTCGGTCCCTGATGAGCTTTTTATTGTCCTGCGACCTCAATGAGTCAGTGAATCACTTGCCCACCGCCCCCCTTTTCATTTAATGATCTCCCTGCTCATAGTCTCCCTTTTTTAGGTATACATGCACACACTAGATGCAAATACACATACCTTTCCTCAACACACACTCACACACAACACAGTTTACTGATCACGAGAACGCTCTAAGAATCAGTAGATGCTATATAGATTGTCACTGCTTACTGTATTTAGCAATCAGTTGGTGCTTTTCTCTGTTGTAAGTTTATTGTTTTTGGGTCTTAGACAGTTAATCAAATGTTTCAATATTTTCTGACTTTGCATAGACTAAATGATTAATAGATTAATTGATACAGTAATGAAACAGTTGCATAGTGAATAGTGAGTCAGAGTGGCTTCCAGAGTGTGGTCAAAGTATCCAAAGTTTGATCTGACCTTAGGACAGACTTTATAACATTTATGGCATTCTGTCATGGCAGTTCTACAAAACAAACAATACACTAAATCTGTCTAAATCTAAAGGATAGAATGGTTTCAACAGAGTCTCCCTCAGTAAAGACAGCTGTGCCAAGGTACGTGCATGTACATGTGAGTCTTTAACAAAGTTCATATAAACAGGACACGTGTTATCAGAAGCCTCCTCACAGCAACACTCTTTTAACTGCCTCCAGCTTTGATACCTGACACACCTTTTGTCTCAGCAATTGGATATTAACCTCTTGATGTCCAAGCATTCCTAAGCACTGTGTGTTACATGTTGACAGTGTCAAGTGACACAGTGCTCCTCTTTGCTATATTCAGATATGGTGAGAGCT